AGCACCCCTTCTCCCTCCCCAGTCACCCCATCTCCCTCTAGGCCACCCCTTGTCCCCCTCCAGACCACCCCTTCTCCCTCTCCAGAGCATCCCTTCTCCCTCCCCAGTCACCCCATCTCCCTCTAGGCCACCCCTTGTCCCCCTCCAGACCACCCCTTCTCCCTCTCCAGAGCATCCCTTCTCCCTCTCCAGAGCATCCCTTCTCCCTCCCCAGTCACCCCATCTCCCTCTAGGCCACCCCTTGTCCCTCTCCAGACACCTCTTCTCCCTCTCCAGAGCATCCCTTCTCCCTCCAGAGCATCCCTTCTCCCTCTCCAGCCACCCCTTGTCCCTCTCCAGACACCTCCTCTCCCTCCAGAGCGTGCCTTCTCCCTCCCCAGCCCCGTGTCCCCCCTCTCCCATGGCTGTTTCCAGTTGCTGCCCTTAGCGCTGCCACATCCCGGTGTCGGGCCGTAACCCCGCACTGAAGGAGGCTCTGGGCATCCGCCCGCATGTCCTGGTGCTGAACAAGATGGACCTGGCTGATCCCCGCCGGCAGCCGGTGAGCGCCGGGGCAGGGCAGGGCTGGGCTGGGCGAGGGCAGTGGTGGCGGCACAGGGAGGTGACAGCAGAGGCTCTCCCCGTGCCCCGCAGGCGGTGTTGGAGCGGCTGAAGGAGCAGGGGTGCCCGCAGGTGGTGTTCGCCGACTGCCAGCGCGATGTCGGGGTCAAGAAGGTAACGGGGCTGCAGCCCAACCCTGCTCCCTGGGAGCTCCCAGCCTTCAGGGCCCCAGGTGGCTGCTCCAGCGTGATCCTCTTTTCCAGCTGTCCCAAGTCCTCTGCCTAGCCCCCTGGCACAGTGTCTGTGGCTGCTGCACAGTGTCTGTGGCTGCTGCAGAGTGCCAGCCCCTGCCCCTGTTTCCCTGCAGATCGTCCCCCTGGTTGCCCGGCTGGTGGCTGAGGGCCCACGCTACCACAGGGCCGAGGTGAGACACAGAGTCACAGAATATCCTGAACTGGAGGGGACCCAAAGGATCATCCAGGACAACTCTTGGCCCTGCCCATGACACCCCAACAATCCTACCCTGTCCCTGAGGGCATTGTCCAAACGCTCCTTGAGCTCTGGCAGCCTTGGGGCCGTGCCCACTGCCCTGGGGAGCCTGTTCAGTGCCCCACCACCGTCTGGGGGAAGAACCTTTCCCTGAGATCCAGCCTGACCCTGCCCTGACACAGCTCCAGCCATTCCCTTGGGTCCTGTCACTGGTCACCAGAGAGAAGCTCCATACCCCAATGAGGTCTGACCTCAGTCTTCTCCAGCTGAACAGACCAAGTACCTTCAGCCCCTCCTTGTGTGGCCCCTCCAGGCCCTTCCCCATTCCCATATCCCTCCTTTGGACTCTTTTAAATCTTTTTCATACTGTGTTTCCCAAAACTGCCCCCAGTGCAGAGCAGAGGGAGGGTCACCTCCCTCTCCAGCCGAGGGACGAGGCAGCTCCTGCACGTGCCAGAACTGCCAGCAGACCCTGGGGGGGTTGGCTGTGGCTGCTGCCCCTCACTGCTGGGGTGGATGGCTGATAACCAGCGCTCCTTGTTCGTGTTTCCCTGGCTTCCAGAGCTCCGACTTCAACATCCTGGTGATCGGCGTGCCCAACGTGGGCAAATCCTCGCTCATCAACTCCTTGCGGAGGCTGCACCTCAAGAAGGGTATTTCTCCATGGTGCTAAGGCTTGGGGAGGAGGTGGGGCACAGTGTCTCTTGCTTTCATAACCATGTCACTTTTTCCCCCAGGGAAAGCCACGGTGGTGGGGGCCGAGCCCGGCATCACCAAGGCAGTGCTGACCAGGATCCAGGTACTGTCCCTGCAGCACAGTGGCTGGGTGGGCTCTGCCTCCCACATCCTGGAGAGACCTTGATGCCCACAGATTGATCTCACGGTTGCTCAGGTCCCCTTTTCAGCAGGACTTCAACACAAGCACGTTAGCCATGTGGGAGTCCATGGTGCTAATTACCAGCCCTGCCTCCCCCAGGTCTGCGAGAAGCCCCTGATGTACCTGGTGGACACCCCTGGTGTGCTGCCCCCGAAGCTGGGGGATGTGGAGACGGGCATGAAGCTGGCACTGTGTGGTGAGGTGGAGGCTGTGGCTGGCTGGGGGGAGTCCCCAGACGTGGCCTCGGGGCCTGGTGCCCGAGGCCAGGGTGGGAGTCTGCTCAGGGCCCCTGGGTGCCACGGGGATGGCGGGAGGCTTGGCCAGGGCTCAGCAAGGGCTTGGGGGAACTGGGGCTTGACCCTCTTTTCCAGGAGCCATCCATGACCACATGGTGGGGGAGGACATGATGGCTGACTACCTGCTGTACACCCTGAACAAGCAGCAGCAGTTCGGGTGAGCTGCAGGGGAGCCGGGGAGGGGTCCCGGGAGGGCTGTGGAGCCCCATCCCTGGGAACGCTGTGGGGACTGTGGGATGAGCTGTCCCTCCGGCAGGTACGTGCAGCGCTACGGGCTGGGCGAGCCCTGTGACCACATCGAGCCCGTGCTGAAGCACGTGGCCCTCGCCCAGGGCCGCACGCAGAAGGTGACGGTGCTGACGGGCACAGGTGAGTGCCTGGGGGGCTCTGGGGCACAGGGCTGGGAGTCTGGGGGTCCCTGCTGACCCTCCTTCTGCACCCACTGCCATCTCCAGGGAATGTCAACGTGACGATGCTCAACTACACGGCAGCTGCCTACGAGTTCCTGCGGGACTTCCGAGCGGGACGCCTGGGCAGGGTGACACTGGACTGAGACCTGTCCCGTGGGAGAGAGGCACTGCCTGCAGCTGTGCGGGCAGGGGACACCTCAGCAGGGAGCTCTGGTGTGTGATTGAAGTGGCTCTGCTGGGACAGCTCCTGGTTCCAGGCAAAGCGCCGGAGGGACAGAATGCCAATGGTGGCAGCTGAGGTTGCCCTGTGGTGTCACTCTATGGGGAGCTGTTCCCACCCCAGGGAGCCTGGGGCAGAGATGGTGCCTCCGGCTGGGACAGAATCCCTGGGGAGCCATTTCATTGCTGTAGCCTTGGCCTGCTCAGGGACCTCCATCCTGAAATAAAGCCTGTGTGGGCAGGGGGCCGGGCGGTGGCCATCCCAAGGTCCTGCCAGAGCCCCTCGTCCCGCATCCAGCCACACCTGCTTTTGTCCAGCTTTATTGTCGCCTCCTCGTCCTCGCGAGGCCAGGGACAGAGGCGCGGTGCAAAGGGGTGCCCGAGCCGGCGGGGTTTGGAACGGCATGGGGGGAGGTGGTGGAGGGGCTCCCGCGGGGGTCCTGCCCCGCTGGCAGTGGGTGGGCACAGCCCCAGGAGCTGCTGCTATCTCGGGGCGCGGGGCTCAGCCCCCGGTGGGGCGCCCGGTCCTCGCGGCGTCCTGGGTGCTCCGGGCACGGTCGGGTCCCCCGGGATCCATCAGCGGCGGAGAAGCGCGGCCAGCGGGCAGAGCCAGGGCAGCGCCCGGCCCGGCGCGGTCCCGGCGGGCGCGGCGGAGGTCCAGGCGCTGGCGGCCGCCGTCCAGTTGCCGTCGCGGTACTCGACGCCGTCCCCCGCCTGCAGCTCCCCGGAGAGCCGCGCCCGGCGCAGGGCCGCCCCCGCCGCCACGCCGGCCGCCGCCCCCGCCGCCGCCGCACCGGCCACGCGCAGGGCGGCCCCGGCAGAGCCGTACCGGGGCACGGCCGCCCTGGGCCGGGCGCGGGCCGCCCCCCGCGCCGCTCCGCGGGCCGCCCCCCGGGCGCCGCCGCGCCCGCCCTTGCCCGCCGCCGTGTCGCAGAAGGCGGCGGCCAACAGCACCAGCGCCCAGCACGCCGCCGCGCTCCGCCGCATCCCGCACCTGCCGCAGGGACGGAGGGAGGGATGGAGGAAGAGCCCCGCCGCTCAGCCGCGCCCGGCCGCGTCTCGCTCCCGCGGGTGCCGGGGCCGCGCACGCCCGTGTCACCGCACACGCGGCAGCGCACGGGTTGCATAAACGCGCTCCCCCCCGCCCGGGTGGGTGATGCTCCTGCACATGCTCCTGCACACGCAGCCACGCGCGCTCCCGCACGCCCGTGTGGGTGATGCTCCCCCCGACCCGTGCGGATGGTGCTCCCGCACGCGCCCGCACACGCACATTCCCGCACACCCCTGTGGATGATGCTCCCGTACATTCCCGCACACCCCTGCCGATGATGCTCCTGCACATCCGCGCACACCCCTGTGGATGACGGTCCCGCACACCCGCGTGGATGATGTTCCTCTACATTCCCGCACGCCCCTGTGGATGACGCTTCCGCACACCCGCGTGGATTATATTCCTGTACAGTCCCGCACACCCGCGTGGATGATGTTCCTCTACATTCTCGCACACCCACATGGATGACGCTCCCGCACATTCCCGCATATCCCTGTGGATGATGCTCCCGCACATTCCCGCACATCCCTATGGATGATGCTTTCACATTCCCGCACATCCCTGTGGATGATGCTTTCACATTCCCGCACATCCCTGTGGATGATGCTTTCACATTCCCGCACAGCCCTGTGGAAGACGCTCCCGCACACCCGCGCACACCCGTCCGCGGGGCACACTCACCCCCCCCGCCCTCCCCACCCGGGGTACTCACCGGGCCCGGGGCACCGCCGGCTCGCTCCGCTCCGCTCCTCCCCGACCGCGCTCCCGCCGCGCCCCCCCCGCACACCCCCCACCCCAGGCGCGGGGGGCGGCGGGGGAATCCTCCCTGCGCTCCCCCCCGGGGCTCTAAGCCCCGCTAATCCCGCGGCCCGCCCCCCCCGGCTCGGCGGCGCTGCCGGCGGGACCCCCCAGCGCCGGGCTGGGGACGGGCCCGGTGCCCCCTCAGCGGTACCGGGGGTTCCGGCCCCTCCCCGCGGCGCCGCCGCGGCCAATGGGGATGGCGAGCAGCGGGGCGGGGCCACCTCGGCCAATGGGCGACGGCGAGAGGGGCGGGGCCGGCGCGGTGGGCGGGGCCGCTCTGCCGCGCTCCGCCATGGCCGCCGCGCTGCGAACCTTCCTCCGCCCCGCCGCCGCCGCGCTGCCCCGGGCGCGGCCCCCGCCGCCGCTCCGCAACCCCGCCGGCACGCGGGGCTGCAGCGCCGGTGAGCACCGGGGCACGGGGATGGCACCGGGGGCTGGCTGGGCTTGGCCGGAGGGGGTGGTGAGCACTGGGTCCCTGCACCGGGTACGGTCCCAGCACCGGGCGTGTGTCCAGCAACTTGCACGTGGTCCCTGGGCTGCGCACCAGGACGGGGTCCCTGCTCCGTGTACGGTCCCAGCACCGGGCACGCGGTCCCTGGGCTGTGCAGCAGGTCCCAGGGTGCCTGCGCCATGCCCCGATACCGGTGGCTCGCCGTCCCGGCACAGGGTGGTCCTGGGGCTGCACCTGCCCAAGGCAGGGTGACACCGGCAGCTCCCCCGAGCCGAGACCCGCGGACACGTCCCCGCCGGCTGCCGGTGACCGCTGGCGTGAAGGTCGCCTTAATATAGCGCGGGGCGGCGGCCGGACCTGGCCAGGGGTTGTCAGGGGTCTCACCCCGTGCCCGGCAGCCGGTGGGCTCACGGGCCGGTGCCGGGGCGGCGGCAGGGTCCACGTTCCAGTACCTGTTGGTGCAGAAGACGGGGGCGCAGAAGAACGTGGGGCTGATCCAGCTGAACCGGCCGCAGGCGCTGAACGCGCTCTGCGAGGGGCTGATGGCCGAGCTGCGGCAGGCGCTGGAGGCCATGGAGAGTGACCCGCAGGTGGGAGCCATCGTCCTCACCGGCAGCCAGAAAGCCTTTGCAGGTAGGGCGAAGACGCCTCTCCCCATCCCAAAATTTTGGGGAAGGCTGGGGGAGGAGTTGGTGTCCCAGCCCACTTCCCTTTGCAGCCGGTGCGGACATCAAGGAGATGCAGAATAAAACCTTCCAGGAGTGCTACAACGGCGCCTTCCTGGGCGGGTGGGACAAGGTCTCCGTCGTCCGTAAACCCATCATCGCCGCTGTCAATGGCTACGCCGTGAGTGCCCCCCGCCTCTCCCTGTACCCCCTGACCCCCCAGTGCCACCCCCTGACCCCCCTGTGCCTCCCCTGTCCCAGCTGGGTGGCGGGTGCGAGCTGGCCATGATGTGCGACATCATCTACGCCGGGGAGAAGGCGCAGTTCGGGCAACCCGAAATCCTGCTGGGAACCATCCCAGGTGAGCAGCGGGCACCAGCCAGGGGGTTCCATCCCAGCTGGAGTGGGGACACCCAGCTATCCCTCTCTGGACCTTCCCCTTCCCTACATGCATCCAGGTGCTGGCGGGACACAGAGGCTCACCAGGGCGGTGGGGAAGTCGCTGGCCATGGAGATGGTGCTCACCGGGGACCGGATTTCAGCAGCAGAGGCCAAGGAGGCAGGTAGGGGCGTGGGCCGGTCCTGGTACTGCAAGGGGCCAGCAGGGAGCCACCCCCCCACTTCCCACTGCCCATCCTAGGTCTGGTCAGCAAGGTGTTCCCCGTGGAGAAGCTGCTGGACGCGGCCATCGCCTGCGCTGAGAAGATCGCCAGCAACTCCAAGCTGGTGGCTGCCCTGGCCAAGGAGTCAGTCAATGCTGGTAGGGACTGGGGGGCCAATTGGGAACCCCTTGGGAGGGCTGTGGGGCCAGGCAGAGGGGTCTCCCAAACTTCTCCCTTGCTCTTAGCCTTTGAGACGACACTGACAGAGGGGAACAGGACGGAGAAGCGTCTCTTTTACGCCACCTTTGCCACTGTGAGTAGAGGGATCTGCCCCATGGTGGGGGGGGATCAGCCCCATGGTGGGGGGATAGTGGGGCTGCCACAGCCCTCCAAACCTCACCTCTCTGCTCCTCCCAGGATGACCGCAAAGAGGGGATGACGGCCTTTGTGGAGAAGCGCAAGGCAAAATTCACCGACAGCTGAGCCCAAGGAGCTGCAGTCCCCAGGGATGTGCAGGTCCCCCGGATGCGCAGGTCCCCCGGGCATGTGCAGGTCCCCACAGCCACCTGCTGCCCCTCTGCCTTACCCCATGGAGGGGACTGGGACCCATCGATGAGCGATGCTTGGGGTGACAGCCAGCAATGGGGACCACCTCTGCCTTTGCTATTAAAACATTTTCTAGGTGCTGCCGGGACATGGGGTGTCCTTCTCTGAGGTCCTGCCTCAGCTGGGAAAGGTTTGGGTTCACTGAGACCCTCCACTCTGTCACACTGCTCTCTGATGCTGGGCTGGGCAAGAGCAGACTCGTGGAGATCCGTGTGTCCCCCGGGAAGGGGACAGCCTGTGGCACTGAGTCACCCGTTCCAGGGCATCATCCTCACCCTGCTCGGGGTCTTGGGGCAATCCCAAGGAGGGGGATCCCTCAGGTTTAGGGCCCTGTACTTAGCAGCAGGTTTCTGGCAGCAACGAGGAGCCCACCAGGACATTGGAGAGGGGACTGGATTTATTGGGGGGGCCTCAAGGGTGGGTAGGGAAGGATGAGTCCCCCCAGGGAGCCCCAGGGGTAGCTCCCACCCCTCATTTCACAGTCTGGGCACATCTGCTCTCAGCTGTGGTAGAGATGGTCTCGGTCCTCCTCTGGGCCATTCTGCACCTGCAGGGACAGCATCCGGGGTGGCTCACGGACATCCACCTTCCTGGCGTCGTCCTGGGGGTGGTGGAGGTGGTCTCGATCCTCCTCTGGCTCTACCTGGACTTGTGGGGGGTGCCAGGCCCTTCTGGACACAGCCTTTCTACCTGGTTTCACCTCTTCGGAGAGCTCCCACTCCTCCAGCACATCCACACCCGGGATGCTGGAAGAGGGGAGCAAAATCAGCGAGGAAAGGTTGCTAAATACCACCCTGCCCCAGGGGAATTCCACCCTATCAGAGGGCAGGGACCCTGGCAAGATTCCCCCCCACTCCAGGAAGCAGAAATTAGTATCTTGGGGAGCAAATGGGCTCATTTAGCCAAAGGAATAGGGAAACCAGCTGGGGCTAGATGCTTGGGGAGTTTGGGCAATATGGGGGAGAAGGTGGAGCTGGGAGCCTCTTAATTTTGAGGGGGCACAAAGCCCAAGGGGAATTTATTCCCCCCGAAACGCTTTCCATTTTGGGGTGTTGCTCTGTTGGCTTTTACAAGCCTGAAGGTGTGGGGAGCACGTCCACCTCTTACATTTCCTTGTCCAAATCCCAGTCCGTGGGCAGGCCCTTCCGCCCGGAGCTGCTCAGAGCCTGCAGGGAGAGAGGGGGGTGGCACCGCTCATGGTGGGCCTGCTCATCAGAGGGGACAGCAGGAGGGTGAAGCAGAGGGGTGGCTCACCTGGGTGCTGCTGGGTGCCAGCAGAAGGAGGGCAGTGCCCAGCAGGATGGTGATGCTGCAGAGCCTCGGGCTGAAGCAGAGGAGACACAGTGGCAAGAGCTGTGTGGCTGGTGCTGCCCCACACCCTGCACCCAGTTCCTGTGCCCCCCGCTCCCCCTGACCCCCAGCACCCACCCTGCCCACCCCCTGTGCCCGCTGGGGCTGGCAGGACCTACCCCTCCATGGCTGCCTCTCACCACACCTGGCTGTGCACTTTGCCCGGCCTCGTGCCTGCCCGTCCCTCATGTCCCCGGGTGGTGCCAGTTCCTGCTGCTCAGGGAGACTCCCAGGTGTCCCAGAAAGGTGGTGGCCTCTGGCCTGGAGCTCCTCCCTCGTGCTCTGGGGGGAGCTGCAGGGGAGACCCTCTCTGACCTCTCTGCTGGCGCAGCTGCCTGGTTCCTGCGTGTCCCTGGCTCAGCTGTGACCCTTCCCTTTGCTTCTCCATCCTGGCATCCACCTCCACCACACCAGTGCCTTCAGCTCTCCTGCAACAGGAGTGAAACAGGTGATTTGGGGGCTTTCATCCCCAGAATGTTTCCCAGCGCATCTTTTTCTCCTCAGAAATTGGAAGCGTGAGCGAGTCCAAAGCTTCTCCCCAGCTGTGATGGGTGACACCCCATTTCCGTGCGTGGATCAGCTCTGTGCGTGTGTTTAAAACAAAAAAAAAAGGGAAATTCAAGTTTTGGCTTGAGAGAAGGATTTTTTCCAGCTGGGACAGACTTCATTGCCCATGGACTCTGGGAAAAGCAGGTGTCCCAGAAAAGACCAGTCACGAGCCCTGAGGTTGTAGTTCCAAGTTCAGTTTGTTTTCCATTAGCAAGGGCAGGCACTCAGGGGCCTGGACTTGGGGGAAAAAGGAATGCCCAGGTCAAAACTTGTGGACCTGAACCCGTAAGGGAGGGTTGGGCTGCTCCTGCCTGACCTTTGTACCATCACGTGCCAAAGCCTGCAGGCATCTCCAGTGACGTGGGGCCTGAGTCCCATTCCCAGATATCCCAGTGGGGGGAAAATTAGGGGCTCCCGGTGTGGGAAAGTGACTTTTGGTCCCTTCTGAAAGATGTCCCTGGGCAGATACAGGATCCTGGCCAGGGGGTTTGCCTGCTGGAGACAGCACTCCAGGAGCAGGGATTAAGGCTAGACAAGCCGGCTGAGTTTTAAACAGAGCGAAGCTTTTTAAAACTCACTGGGAAATCTCCTGCATCTCCGTAAACATCATTCCCTGCTCCCATTTGCAAGGATTTTCCAAAGCCCCTTTTATCCTCTATTCCTCATACAGAGGGGGAAGGGAAAAAATGCAATTATAGATCCTAAGCTTCTTGGATAAACATCGTCCCAGCAACCTCTTTTTTTCCCTTTATGGATAAATTTTGAGTGTCAGGGTTCACCAGGACCCCGAGACCAGTGGCAGCACTCTGAGCCTGGCTCTGTGTTTTCAATTTTTCCCAGGAGGACGAGATTACAAAGGAAGGGAGAGGCAAGAGGGAAAACTTCCATCCCAACCTGATTTTGGGGGTATTGGGAGAAAAAGGAGGGAGGTCCATTTTGCACATCTGGCTCTGCCTTCAAAATGCCATTTAAACTCTCTATGAAGAAATTTTATAAAAATTCCTTTTATTTATTCACCTGGCTGAAGTCACTTTATTTTAACTCCCCGTGGAAATGTTTCTCCTGGGCCAGACAGACCTTTCATGTGGGTTCCACAGCGAGATCCAGGGTGCAGAGGAGACTTTAGCAAGATGGAGAAGGTCAGAATTAAGGACCAACACCTTTTTTGCCCTGTTTTCTTTTTTCACAGCTTCCATGCAGTCAGCAGATTTTGTCTTGGAATTTCTTGAATCCGGTTTTTTCCTCCAAAAGGCAAAAAAATAAAACACCCAATCCTGTGCAGTCTCAGCTGCAGGACAGTTTCCTTAACGCCTCACCACACATTTTGGGTTCCCCTTTCTAATATCTTGAGGATTCTTAACTCAGTCGGGTTGGCCCAATTCCGTCTGACATCACGAACCCGTGTTCAAATGCTGGTGGAGCTTTAATTGGTTTGGGTGGCTTATTCCCAGTGTGGAGTGGGAACTGGAAATATCCCTGCTCGGCCACGGCGTGGGCAGCACCGGCCCCACATCTGCTCATCCTGCACAAATCTGCTGCACTGACCTTCAGACTTTCTTCCTTGGTCCTTTAAATCCTCGGGTGGCACCTTGTCCAAAGCAAATTGTGGATGGGATCCTGGAAAGGGAGACAGACTTTGATTCACATTAATAGCCTATCCCTCATGGCGATGCTCTGTGTGGCATTTTAAGCTCCCAGAGTGGAAAGAGCAGAACATCTAAATGAACAAAGTAATAAAGAAATGGGTGAAATCCTGATTGGCTTTCCTGTGTATTCCGCATATTCCTGTTCTGGAGGCCTCTCCCCTTTTTCCAACCATGTGTAAGTGTTACCAAAGGTAGTAACTGGGCAGTTGCAGTGGTTGATTGTGAGGAGCAGGAGAGCAGAAGCACCATCCTGCAATACCCCGGGAAAGAGATCTTGGGTGGGCAGACTAACAGGACCTTGCCAACACTGCAGTGGCCTGTTCTGCCCTTCCACACTTTCCTCTTTTAAAAATGCCTTTGAAAACACACATGGAATTCCTGCCTCTTTTATCTTCAGCATAGGAACACACTGAGCACTGCCAAGGGCTGGTAAGATTCTCTGGCCCGTGGAGGCCAAAGCACAGACCTGGATCTGTAGAGCCGTTTCTCTGGCAGCGAGGGGCCAGGGCTGGCTGCAGGCTGAGGGATCTCCATGTCCTCACCAGGCCCTGTTTCCACGGGGTCCAGCTGGAATTGCTCCGCCGTCTCCACGCTCACTTCCATGGGCACGCTGGGGCCCTGCTCTGCAGGACAGCTCGTGTGCTTGGGGACACTGCAGGGACAGTTTTACACCCTGGCTCAGTGGCTGCCACGTAAGCCCAGAGCCAAGGATACTTCATGAGGAAACAAGTCCAGCTGGGATGAGTTAGTGCACGGAGGCACAGGGATTCGGCTCCAGAGAGAGAGGCTTGTGTGAGTTTCTGTTTAAGTATCCATTACTTAATGAATACCCACAGCTCTCTTCCCAGGTCCTTCTCTTCACTCCAAAAAGCCCAACTCATTCCACAGGATCAATTCCCTGAGGACTGTCCTTTAGCTGACCTACTGATGCCACAGGTGACCATTACCTTTTCATCCCTGGCTGGCCAAGCCACTCTGCTCTCCCATCCTCAACCTGCTGCTCCCTCAAGTATTGGGACACATTTCACTTAGAATCACAGAACGGTTTGGGATGGAAGGGACCTTAAAGATCATCCAGTTCCACCCCCTGCCATGGGCAGGGACACCTTCCAC